ACACTATATCGGCTTTCTCTTGCGACTCGAACAGCTTTATCGGCTCGCGCCCATAGAAAACTGCCAGGAGAAAATTATGAAATCACACCATCGAGCCGCACGGAGCACCGCGCCCGTCTCAGCCTTACGCAAATGAAACTTTATTTGCAACGCCCGCTTTATATTGTAACGGTTTACTTTCATATATTTATAGCGATATTATTCGCTTCTTCCTTAGCGTGGGCTTGCAGAGATAAACTTTCATGAGCATGCAGATACATCTCGCGATTCGAGGAAGTGATCATGCTAAAACGAACAACGCAGAAATTGTTATTGCAACGCAGTGGTTGAATTTAATTATAATTTTCATTAAATAAGGTTAATATTTGCATTGATTTTAATTATAATCATGAATTGGACACATCTGCACAAAGGTTACTTCAAACGTCTCTGCACGTGCTTTAAATAAGTTGAATGTACTACTAATAATGTGATGTTTTTGAGAGAGATAATATAAATTTAGGTTCAATGATTTGTTGTTATTTGTTTTCATAGCCAGATAGGCTTATTTTCGCTGTTCGCAAATAGTCGAGACAAAGAATTATTACTTTACCTAAAGAAATGTAGATAAACAGATGAAAATAAAACATTCAGAAATATTTTTGTGAGAAAGAATATGAATAAATCAAAAGTTACGATCATGTTGTAACATTTCGAAATAAAACGACACGTCGGAATGGTAATGGAAATCGGCGTGTAATTCTCTATAATCCGTACACAATGGTAAAGATGATTTGTTATTAAAACCGGACCGAGGTGGATGCATCGAGACCGCATGACGTTCAGCCCTGAATACTTCATTAGATGACTAAACGGAATCGTTAATAAACGACAGAGAGGTGCAATATATAATCAGACACAATACATTTGCACATCATCCAGAGATCTTATTGGACTTGACGGCCAGCAACAACTTTACTCTATAATTATGTAGAGCACGGGGTTCCTTTCAATTTTGATTTAAGTTCAAAGCTTGCATCACATGAATATATTACTCAGCTTAGAATGACTTTATTAATAAGTATAAATGAAAACGTTTAATGCAACATCACATAATGGTTAATGTCAGATAACAAATAAAGTAATTTACTTAAATTACAATTACACACGACTTAAACGAGCCAGCCTTCCAGAGGCGCGCGTTACGTGGAAGCAAAAATGGATTTAAATTTTCACCGTAACATAAATCATTGAACATTTAACATTAATCGCGTGAAGACATGCGATTTAACACTGCGCCGATACAAATCGTACGTACGGTCATAAGAAAAAGTGGCTTTTTTATTTCACGTATAACGATGATTTGCACGTTCCTTGGCAGTAGTACGTCGACCCAACTGCAGCAGCCAGCACATCTTTTAAATTAAATTGTTCATCGGGTTGTCGTTTGTCTTCAAATATGTCTCAGCGTGTGAACAAATGGGGGTCGCTCATTGTTTCTTTTTTGCGCTAAAGAGGTTCATTAGCACTGTACAAATATAAAACATAAAGGATTTAGTATTTTTGTTCAGTGTTTAGGTTTTATTTAGGCTCGAAAATATTACTCCCGAAACACAAAAGCTGTTGTTCATTAAGAGGACCGAATGAAATTATAACGAGTGGTTCTTTAATTAAATTGTATCTTACAACCAGATAAACCCCCTTAGAAAGAGTGTCTAAAAAATAAATGGCCTCCACAGACACAGGTATTACCTTCGAAACACACCTTGATATAAAAATAATATTCCGTTTAGACATTTAATTTAAGCTTTTGTTAATAAAATTAATGACGTCGACCGAGATTCTGACCATCCTACAAAGGAACAGGAGATAACAAATCTTTTTTAACTAACTCGTTTACGAAGAATACCGAACATAAACAAATTACTGGCTATAAATCTTCAACTATCACCAGTAACATAAAGGCGTCGATCTCCTTTCCCATGAGAACGATATTAACTAAGGCGAAGAAGTACTTCTGCATAGTGCAGATTTGATCTGCTCAAACATATAATATTAATCCGGTGCGGTGCGGCAAGGCGTCATATCTCGCCGGGTGGCGAGTGAAAGCCGCGTGAAACTTCCGAACGGAAGCCAGTCGGCTTTCTACCCCGCCTCCTGTCGCAAGCGAAGAAAACTAACCCTGTGCAACAACGTACCGCAGAGATAGGGCGTTGACAGCTATGCGGTTTACGATCCCATTTAAGTGTAAAATGTAATACAACACTAAACTTTCTACGGTACAATGTTGCGAAAATATAGCAACTTGTTCGTGAAGGAAATAAAGCTACAGACTACTTGCATAAATTTAATCTAGATTTATGCTCTAGAGTACGAATAATGTTGTTTCAGAAACCAACTTAAGTGTAAAGATTTCATTAACTCATTCTTCAAAAATACTGAATACAATCCCCACTGTATTCTACAGGCACAATTGTACAAACATTTAACAGCTAAACAATACATATCGGAAAGTCTTGACCGGAGATTTTGACGTAAATCCATGTTATTATGCAAAATTTTCAGCTATAAACATATCTGTAAAACAGGTAAAACTTATTGGATTTTATTCAAGCATCGCACATTCTATTTATCTTTTAGAAATTGTAAAAAATGAAAACTGAACATAAACGCATGTATAAACTGTAACTATGTAAACTGTAATTATGTCTAATAATGTGTAAAAATATTAAATGTAAGCAATGCAAACATTAGACCGACTATAAAGACATTGACAAACGTCTACCGTGACTAGGAATCGGTGCAGAAGCAAAGCAAGTATCGTATGTTCCACGGGTATTACGTGGAACATTGTCTACATGGTGTTATGTTTACCTTACATTGTCGACACTATAATATACAAGTGGCGATTTCTATACGCGAGCAAGCCAAGGTCACTCGCCACGTGCGATCGTCCATTGTATTGTGTGAACAGAGTTACTTGATTTAAATTATTCTACACTCCTCCATGTGTTTGATGTCGACATAAATAATTTCCTTTACAATTGGCCTTTGAGATAATTATTTTGGTCATGTGAATATGTAATGAAGTGGTCTAGCAATTTTGTTTGTGTTAGGAAATGTCAAATTTGAACGTCCATGAATGTTTTTGTAATAAGTATAATTTGCGGTTTTGATATTTAAAACACAGACATACTATGTCGGATTTTGTAAAACTCGTTGCTAGGAGTTGAATTTGAACATTGCAGCACAATATTTGGACTTTAGAACAGAATTCCTTTGACATTATCTAATCCTAAGTAAAGGATAGAAGTGTAACCTCAGCTGGCAATAAATTCAACATCCGCAGTAACCTGACATAATACAACAAAGCCTTGCCATGTAGCAAGTGTCGCAAGTGGTCATAAAACAGTAATAATGTCCGCGCAGAAACAGTAATGCGCCATAATAACGCGTGATATGTGAAGTTGCGTAAACAAATAACTAAATGTAGGTACGATAGTGAGCCGAGATTTACGAGATCAACTGAAGTTGCGCTCCAGATTCGAGGATTACGAGATGCCTCAACAATCTGCATTGTGGAACGTCGTAGTACCAATACACGATCAAAGCAATTCCAGAACATTAATAGACCAAACTGCGTAGCGGAAAGTTTTAGGTCTGAATAATGGACAAATGATTATAATTCAACGAATTGTAGGGTTAGTTATGACTTTAAATCGTAAAACTATATTAATTTGCATATGAATACTTACTTAGTATAGTGTAAAATTAAATATTGAATAACATCTAGAAACTTATATTTGTATCATCACAAAATTTATTTACAATTTAATTCTCGCACGAAACCTAATTTAAGCATTTTCATAATAAGCGTTAAAGACTTTATGATTGACAGCGTCTCGAGGATACGTAGAGGTTGAATTTTAAACGACCAAACACTGGACAAACGTTTGTCAGTAGGTGGCCTGCACTGACACCTGATTAATAGTCCATCTTGAAACAAAAACAATTCCAGAAACAACGTAGTCCTCAATTACAGCTAACATTATCTACTTATTGCGTTGGACGCGGTTGCCAAATTAATTACACAAAAAAGAGGAGCATGATGTATAAAGTTTTTGGAAATAATATATATCTCCATAGACAAAAGGAATAGAATCTTACAAACTCGTGTTATGAATGTAATTTTAGCAGTTTCGTAAAAGAGCAATAACCATAAAAATGTTAAAGCAAACATTCATGACATTGACCAAGACGGCCGTCCTCGTGAAAGTTCTATTAGGTATATTGAAACATTCAGCTGACTTCATGCAAATGTTCTGTTGACACATTTTTAATAAAGGAATCACTCAGTGGCAACAAAAATATGTTATTCAATATTTCACCAAAGATTTATTCAATGTTTAGCTATGACATGAATAATGATGAAATGAAATCATGCAGTTTACTAAACATTTCTTTATGAAAACTTTATCATTAAGCATTGCAAGCATTTAGAAATCTACGTATTGACTTCAAGTAATTGATTACCTAATGAACTTCTGACGTGGCTGGTCGAGTTCGGTTAACAATTCGCACCCAAACGTGTCCGTTGCAAACGAGAGCACAATGGTACCTGCGTAACCGACTGCCAGCTGTTGTACCACAATAGAGAGTCGCTTCGGAGAGTTACGCAAACACCTCCATTTTGTTTACAAACTATGTTTTGAATTTTCAAACGCTTGCCTCTAAACTATCGATAGTTTCCTTATTGTGTTGTTCGTAACTATGATTCATATCAATCAAGCCTTTGTAATGTAACGCGGTCAACTTTTTATTGTACTTATACATTGTTGCATAAACCAATCCTTCTACAACGTCACTTGCACGTTAATAAATCGTTCCAAATATTAAACCGTGATTCTATAAATGTAAATCGACAACTATAAAATATGCTAGGAAACATTAACTGTTCTAGTACACGTGTATAACTTACTATGTCGAAACACGGTCATATCAAATTGAAATAAAACAACCACTATTACATCAGGACATGGTAATTTATTGTACAAAAATAGTGTGCGAGCGTGAACTCATGCCTCACAACATACACAAACAAATATTAAACCTAGATTTTATGTATAAAATGCATTCACTCAGTATGTTAGACATAGCCTATTTTTGTTTATAATATAGTGAGGTGTATCGTTGAGTTTTACAACCACGTGTGGCACGCCCCATAAAAATCCCAACACAACAACAGACTCATGGGCGAACTTGTTTATAATACATAAATATTCGTAGATATCGACGAGAAAATTATTACACATTTCAGTATCAGAGACGTAATAACAACATTGGTTATCTAATCCGATTACATATCGTTTATAGTCAAAGCAACATCACTAGACGTATCGTCTCGCAATAGAGAAGCTATTGCCTCCTTCCTTTTCGATAAAAAGCTTAAATTTAATGAAGGAGGCCCAACTTCAAAGTGGTCTCTTACAAGTTAATAAAGAAGACACCGATAAATTACCCATTGGCTAAGTTTGCGCTAACACGCATTAAAACTGAATTTAAAGAAGACAAGGCGATGTAATAACTCCTCGTCTTCGCCCGAGTCTGTCGTAGAGATAAAAAAAAGTAAAGCAAAAACCAATTTATCATGTCGTCCCACGCACGCGCCGAGCAATATAAGCAAACACACATAAAAATAAAAACGTAAAACATAGAAACAGCCCGTAGAGTGTAAAACCCAACGATAAAGACTGCGAAGAACAGTACAGTCCATGAATAACTTAGTTATATTCACATTATCTACATTATTATGGAACTTTATCTGGCATCACTTACTCCGTTGGACCCACACATTAACAAAAAGACTGACACAGGTACGGAAACTGAGATTTTAATTCGCCGTTTAGCGTTTGACGATACTTTCAAAGTGGCATAATCAAAATGGCATTTCAACTTATAACCGACAATAACAATTTGTCAATTACTTTGTTGTGGTCCATGATACGAAAGCTCATTTAATAAATATTTATTGGTAACTCAAGCATTATCTCAACAAAAACAATCCGTTTATCTTATACCGCCGTTTTTATTCAAACGTCCTAAATGACAATATCGCAGTCTGTTTTTTTCATATCTCCTAAAAAAATCGTTCTAAAACGGCCCCTTCTGTACACAGTTTTAACAAATAGAGATAACGAACTGGTATAAAAAGTATATATCATGGCATTTTATCTACAGCGCACCTGTTATGTAACTATTAGGAACGTAGAAACGAGATATTAACAAACTTAGTAACTTAAGTCACGTAACTACAGGAAATAATAGTAATTTCAAGACTAACAAAGATCTCGGCGATGAAACGTGATGTAAAGTGCAAATAATGATAAAGATGATGAGCAGTGTAGACGATAATGACTTCAATGACGATGATAATGATACTTTCGTGAATTTTATGCCTGGACGTGATGGATGCACTCGACAAACGTGCCCGTCGCTTACGATATTATAATAGCTTTAATATCTAATGCTAGCTTGATAGTCCAAACGTGATTATTGCATTTTTCAAAGGTTTAATAAAAATACTGATAAGAACAGTAGGATTGAATGTTTTAAGATTAACAATCGAAATGATTAGTGAGTTTTTAGGAAAATTTAATATATTGAAATAAATGCTGCTGTAAAAGTTAACACTAGTTGGAGAGAGCAATGATTATTTATAATGAAAAAAGTCATTAGCGGAATGAACCGGTGTGCGCGCACGAGGCGCCACCCGGAACGGCGCGCGCGGTGAAAACCGCGGGAAACCGCAATAGTGAGCGCGCAGCCGCAGCGCGAGAACCGTGTCAGTAGTGTGAAACGCTAATTGCACACGGCGAGTTATGGTGCACCCGGCCTGCAATATCGCTGCAGCTGCTCGTTTCACTAAATTGCAATTGATTTATAATATATCATCTATCATTATATTTCGATCACAACTACTCGACAGACACATTTTATTGACCGCGTTCAGTCACTAACTGTACGCGAATTCACCTATAATATATTAACCGCTTGACATCAACGCCCACTCACAACTAGTAACTCAATAACTCATTCCCTGCAATTTGAAATAAACTTTCTACTTTGATAAAGACGTCAAGTCTTCTCTGCCTCTGATTATGATAAACGGCGAATTTGAAACCTCAACGTGTATCCAGATAAAGTCCCCCGTCAGTTTCCTACGCTATTGTTATCAATAAATTAATTATAGAATCTACAGGAAACCGATTCGGAGATCTCAATTTTTAGTGGGCCTTGGTGAGACGTTCCGTGCATGCCTCGCTGAGACAATTTGAGTCCAGCTCAAATGGCGAGCGTAGAGCCACCTGGACTGCTCGACAACACTAAAGTTCCACTTAACATATCGCATAGCGCTACTCGAACACGAGTATCTCAGGCAGTAACTAAGGCTAAATCACAAATGTTGCGCGAGGGCTCACTGGCTACGAACGCCGATGAACACCCCGTATCAGACACATCCTCACTGTTTTTGCCATCTTGTTTAACACTAGATTCAACTCTGTTGTTGTTATTATTCACCACACTATTCACTTTATGATCTTTGCTCGCGATACATCCGTTCACAACACTTTCACTTTTATCAGCGAAGAAGGAGCGACGGTCGGAGTTCGTAGCCGGGGGCGAGGTCGAAAACAACTTTATTTCCAGGTCACGGTGGCCATTCATCGAGGTGACGATCTCAGAGGATATGTCTAGAGCGAGCGGAGAACGAGGTTCCGGCGAGCTAGCTCTTCTCGTTGGTGGGAACAATGAGTAAAGATTAGGGGCGGAATATGTTTCGCCGGCATTAATCTCTCGTCGTTCCGGAACCCTCGATGAAGGATCACTCCAGCTCCGTCGCAACGTCGTGTCTGCTCCTCTTTTTCCCAGTGGTCCAACAACTTTCATTGATTCTTCTAATTTAGTAGGTGCAAAATCCCCACAAGAATTTTCATCGAGCAAATCTGCAATGGAATCAGCATCCCAGATTTGCCCCACCGGGTCACACAGACGACACTGACATGAACTAACTGCAGATTCAGCAGGTGAAGCTGCCTCCGCTAAGCCAAATCGGGTCGCTTCTAAAGCCTCTCCTAATGCTGAAACTCGATACGTCTCCGGTACTGGTTCTGGGTACTCTAACACTTTTACATCCAAACGATAAGGCAAAGACATTTCCCGACAGTACGTATCTTCATAAATGCCATGTGATGAATTTAATCCCGAAACCGCACAGTGGTCGACATCACCAAGATCCAGAGCAGTCGCTGATAAATCGTGCGGCACAATATTATTAGGTTTTCTATCCTTTTTACGTCGTTTCCGCGGTTTTATAATCCTTGGCAACATAGTCTCAGAGTTGGTCGAGCCGGAACTTTCATCGCTCGCGACACTGACCGCATCCGTGTTGTTGTTACGTCCGCCTCGCGTGGAACGCGCTTGCTGCTGTTGGTTACGCGGCCTGTTTCCCTCGGGTGCATCACACCGATCTCTTGTGATGTGTTCCGTTTGTGCAAGCGGCCGATGATTTCGCTGCTCCGGTGCTGTGGTGTACTTTCGTCTGTCGTGTCTGTTTTGTATAATTAGGGGTGCTCCTTGTGCGTGCATAGCTAACTTGGATACTGGCGTGTTTCGGGATTGTGGTGGTGCACGACCGGCCATCGATATAAGTGGAGCGCCGAGCCATGCATTCGGGTGCGGTACACCATAGGGCGGATAGTAGGGCGGCGGGAAACCCGGTGCGGTGGTAGCATACTGAGGGCGAGCGGGTTCGCGGCGCCCTAGGGCGGCGCGCTCGCCCGGACTCATCACTGCAAAAGGGGTGTTTAACCCATATTCGTGAAAGTACGTGTCACTGTCACGGTAAAAGTCCGAGTTGCAACGCGATGTCGTAATCGTACACTAACATCTGAGGCGAGTAGCGGAATGCGCGCGTCCTATCGCCGCGACAGTCGGCAGAAGACTGAAGTGAATGAGTGCGGTGCGAGCCGGCGGCGGGCGCGAGTGTTGAGTGGGAGCGCCTCTGACTCGACAAGCCACGCGACTATCGTTGTAGCGTCGATGCACCGGAAAACTTTACAACCCTAATCGCTTTACAATTAAACCGCTCGACATTGTTTACTTTCCTTGCGATGAAGAAAAAAGAAAACCGTGAATGTAATAGTTCATTTCAATGGTAACGAAGGAAATAAAATCACAGTTCCTATAATAGGCAAGTCATAGTTTTATGTTGTATTATTTATGTTGAGAATAAATAAAAGCTAATTACGGCACCTACCTTTTTACGTTTAGTACAAAATAATTTAACAATATTTTCACGTAATTGAACTAAACTTAAGTAAACACGATTTTATGAAATAAAATACAAAAAATGTAAAACTTACCATTTACCCCAGCACCTTATTACAAGAAGTAATGTTAACTTACCTGTAACAGAAAATATGGAGTGTTAAAGTAAAATACTTCACACATACAGTCACAATACAGGACAGGGAACTTTAGGTGTCCTAAAAGTTAAAAGTTTAACGCAGTTACTAGCAAACAGCTGTAATAAAATTCATTTATTGAGCAGTAAATTGTTTTGAAAACTGTTCCACCTGAATGGGTGTTTAATAGCACACTTTCTCGGCAGGAGTGTCAAATAAAAATAAATTTAGATGCATCATAAAGTGGTAAAAACACGTTTTGAAGATGCCAATTTATTATTATCAAAATAACAGCTACTTAAAAGCTAACTTGACGTCAACTTAAATATTTCGCAAAGTAAAACATTCGTAAATAGAAGAATGTAATTAGCCGAATTACATTCTTTAATTGATAGTGACATTGGAAAAAATGTTAATTAGTACCCAAAACAAAAAAAAAATACTCAAGTCGTATTTCGCAAAGCCCACAAAACGTTGCGTTATGAAATAATTTCATTAGTACAGTTTCTCAAACTGAAAATTCTCGGATCATTTTCCGAATATATTTTCCAAGAAACGTAGACCCAAAGATATTTTAAGTTGATTTCGTAGCAAGCAAGTATCGACGAAAAGTAATTTGAAAGTGTATTTTCTTTGTTGTTATTATTCGTCGGATCCCGTGACGTGTTCGTCGACCTCTCACCGTTTGTACCGGAGGGACGGTGAAAGTGAACTTCATGACTCACAACTTCACAAGTCACAACTCTTTTTCGATAAACGTCAGCTCAGTAAATTTTGTGAGCAATTATCTTGCTATCAAACCTGCGTAGCTGTTTTGATAATTGTTATAAATAATAAAGAATTGTTTTAATAGAAATCAGTAATAAAACATTATTTAGATATCAGTTTTATTTTATATTTCTCACTACAAGCCAAATTCTGACAGCATGTAAGTATTAGATTTATTATTGTCTAAAAATAGACAAGTTTTGAGATTTCTTAAATTAATACGTATCTTATATTTGAAATGAATCTAAAGACTTATAAAATTGAAATCGTCAAATTCGATTAGAACAGAAGTCATTAAAAACTTTATATTCATAGTTAGCACGCGATTGTACCGCACTTCGATATGTAGAAACGTGTGTAAGTTCATTTAGCATATTCATAATAAGAACTTTCATCGGTGCGAATAATGAAAGTTAGGCGAGTCCGATACGTTGACTAATTATCGTAAACAATTCTTTAATATTTATTTTTATACGTTTATATACGATAGCATCGTGGTGTAAAAGCGTATAGAATGGGAATTGATTTGTTTATGTTCCGTAGATAAAGAGCTTCGGGCAACATTGTTGATACAGCATGGTCGTACAGTAAGCCTTGGAGCTTCGGCCCATCAATAACTAGACTTTTATTTCATTGTAACCATTTGCAACAACGCAATAGATTCAATTTTATAACGCCTCGCCATTGGTTCGATTAAGATATTTATTAATGACGTGCCTAGCTAACAAAGAAGTTTTTTCTGCAACCACTTTATAGAATAATAAGAGTATTACTTATAAATTCTCTACAAATAAGACACTAACAATTCTTCTGTGTACGCTTTATGTATCTTTGAATAGAAACCAAAAAGAACGCACATTTTTATTTCTTTTTTTCTGAACACGCACAATAGTTGAATAGGCACAACTGTTTGCGAGTCATTTGATCACATTTATTAGGGCCCAGTAAGCTGGACAAAGGGTCCAAATGTTGGTTGTAAAAGTAGCATAGATAATATTATATCATTAAACGTGTCTGTCATTGCCACAGGAACTGTGACTCGTAAAAAAGTTGGATATCACGCAAATGTGTCGACCCCACCTTTGGAGGGTTGAAATAAAACCAACAAAAAAACATCGTTGATTGTAGAGTATGTTTTTTTTTTCGTTCCTAAAGGGGTGGAACGACTATCTTTACGTTTAACATAAATTATTTAGTACATGAAACCCCATTAATGTTAAAAGATAAGCCTCTACAATAGTAACATAACTGCATCGCTTTTACTATTTATTTGTTTAATAACCATATAGGAGTTAACGACATCATTAGGAAAATATTACATTATTTTGAAACTGTTAAAGTACATTCAAGCCATGATTGCTATGCTTGCAACTCGCTTTCCATAAATAAGTTTACCTCCTTGTCAATCTGCATGGGCTATAAACAACTTTAGCTCATATTACATGTGGTGAGAGACAATAATAGCGTGCAGTTAGTGTCACGTAACATCGCAGTGCATCATTCAGATCGTTCACGGCGGATCAGAGAAAGTGTTCAGATTCATTGACCCTTGCCGTCGCGTGCTTAGACAAAATCAATTTACCATCCACTCTCGCTCTCGAATAGATGCGTTAACCGACAACACTGCGGTTATTACGTGTTACGCTTGTTACGAGAGCATCGTTGATTATATCTCTAAGGGAAAGTTATTAGGTGTGTATACCAAACAGGTCTGTGCGCTACCCCGAAGGCGTCATCACAATTTTGACCGTCTACCGTCTACGAGCTTTCTCTTCTTCAACAGAGTATCAAGTTGCAGTACAGCAATTAGAAATGCTGTTGCGTATAATCTGCTGCACTAATAACACGTACAGTTTAGTAACGTTTCTTCATCCTAGCATTTTCCCGGTCAATTTACTTTAATTGCTATGTTTATCTGTTAGTAATCCATAATAATATTGGTTTACCCTTCACTAACTGTCTAATGGTAAAATAGTGTATCTATGTTGCAATTTGTAACCGCAGGGACTTTCTTCACTGGCAATTAGGTGCCTGCGCTCTTTTTGCAAAGAGAAATCGCTCAATCTAAACTGTTTCAGCGTGAAAACAATTGGTGCTAGTGGCTCATAAAGACGCTGTATAGGTTCGTTACGAAAAGGCGGTATATTTACTATTTCTTCAGTTGATAAATATCGTAGTACAGATCGATTACTTTAAGGTGTTAAATAACCCTCACCCATCGCCATTTAGCATACTCGAAAAAAGTATTACGAAGCATTACATTCGAAAGTCCCCAAATGTTTTATTTGCAGGGTAATTATCATCCTTACCGGATACACTTTCCATTTCCACTCCTTTCAATTTTTATCAGCAGAAGTTATGTATTGATTCTTGTAAGCGAGTTATCAATACATCCTTCAACTTCAAGCTTCTCATAGTCACGACTACGAAGTCTAGGTGAAGATTGGACAATAATCCAGGAAGTTTTTGTTTACTCTACTTGACGTAGATATAAATGTGTAGTTATATTATGCACCAGTAAATAAAAATAACGCATTATCTAAAAAACCCTTATATTCATTCAATAGGTACCTACATGTGTATAAACAGAAATTTGTAATCGTGTCCACGCAGTATTAACGCTAATTCAAGGTCAGTAAATAAACTGATGGATGGATTATTTTATCGCGCTGACGTGTCTAGCTAGACAAACAGACCAAAGTTCATCGATCACATAACAAACGAGGACATTATATTTACTATCTTTACACAGAAAACTGCGCAGTGAAGCAAAACAATCGTATCACTTAGCGAACCTTTTTGACTGCGAAGGAACTTTGTCGCTGTCAACTAAACTACATAAGATAATATATTACTTGTTTCACTTTGTAGTAAAAAAATAATTTACATTTGCGGGTCATTTGCATTTAACGTTTTTTACCAGTCATTTGTGTGAGCGCAATGTCTTCCGGTGAATGTTCACGTAATTGCGTTTCCGTCAGTTGCACCAAGCGCCGCCGCCGGCGCAAGTGATCGGCCCGTTTATTGGATAAACAGCCTATTGTTTGCGCTAATCACCGACGTGTTAATAGGTATTTTAAATGGCTACTCCACATTATGTGTTATTTATTATAGTGCACCAGTCGACACCAAGTGTAACTGGTTCACAAAGTGCAACGGAACCATTAACAACATTATCACTGAAAACAATGTTTATTTGAGACATAAATATGTAATTAGGAATTTAACGAATTTGCATGTTTGATACCGATGCATCGCTGCAATAAAGGCGAACTAGTTTTAAATTCCTATAAAAAGTATAATCTGTTCGTGCAGCGAAAACAAAACAATGTTTAGATGTGCCTGCGTTGTATCGAGGCCTAATGCGATTTTGATTGGCGCCGCTCAAAGCCTGCACTTTCACTAACGCGTGAAGCGTTTACGTTATGGTTTCTTTATAGTCTGTATCTGTTACATTCACTAAACTTCGTGCTTTGCGTTTACTGCCATTAGTCTGTAATACGAGTTCTCGATTGAAAATCACGACGCGAATCGCATATTCTATGTATAAGCGTACATCTGGAACTGGCGCACATAGAATCGATTATGCACTTTCTCCACTTTTTATAGCTACTCGAGTAATGTCCAAAATGTCCTTTTACAATTTTAATATTCTGCCAATCATTCATCACTGTCAGTTTAAAGTAAATTCATAATTCAGTGATGTAAAAAAGCACATTAAAAGTTCATAACTGTTAAATACCAGTTTTAGGGTTTATTGCGGGAGTAGTGTCTAGGCGCACAGCGTATAATG